AATAAAAAATAACAATAATGCAAATTTTTAGAACAATAAGGTATACAACTATTTATAAAGAATTTACATTGTATTAAGTATTAAAAATAACCCAAATTGTCATGTGCAGTGGCTCTTGCCTATAATCCTAGCAACATAGCAAGATATCCTCTCTACGAAAAAAAAAAATTGGCCAGTGTGATAGCACATGTCTGTAGTCCTAGCTACACAGAAGAGAATGAAAACAAGATATGAACAAGATTTGGTTTAAGAAATTCTGTATTATCAGACTTTTCTTTAGAAAGATATATAGGTCAGGTATAGTGGCTTAGGCCTGTAATCCTAGCACTCTGGGAAGCTGAGGTGGGAAGACTGCTTGAGCTCAGGAATTTAAGATCAGTCTGAGCAACAGGGAGACCTTCTTCTCTACTAAAAATAGAAAAATTAGCCAGGCATTGTGGTGGGCGCCTGAAGACCCAGCTATTCAGGAGGCTATAGCAAGAAGATTGCTTAAGCCCAAGAATTTGAGGTTACAGTGAGCTAAGATGATGCTACTATACTCTACCCAAGATAAAAGAGCAAGATTCTGTCTCCCCCCCAAAATAAATAAGTAAACAACCTAAATGATTTAAAGTATATGGGAGGATGTGTATAGGTTATATGCAAATAGTATGCCATTTTATTTAAGAGACTTGAGATCCATGAAGTTTGGTATCCTAGGGGGTCCTGGAACCAGTCTCCATGGATATCAAAGAATGACTATATTTATAAAACTAATATTCAGTCTTTTTTTAAAGACACTGACATAACAGAAAATAACTTAGCTTGTGAAAGAAGAGTTGCTTAATAAATAAAAATGACCACTTTCCAAATAAATAACAATAATAAATTTTAAATTCTATTCTACAGCACACAATTACAGCCAGAGGATCATAAAAAGTCACAAAAATGCAAAAAGCCGCTTTGTGTGGTACCTGGAATCACAGTTAGAGAGGCTTCCATACTTTTACGTCGGTGGGCTACAGTAGCAGCAACACAACGGTAATTCCCTGCATCCTGTTGGCCAACATCATAGATCTGCAATACTCCTGATGGCAGGGCAGTTATCCTGTTAGAAAATAAAGGTTTGAGGTTTTATTTAAACAGTTTGAGATTGCTATGAGCTATGACACCATGGCACTCTACTGAGGGCAACAAAGTGAGACTCTGTCTCAAAAAAAACAAAACAAAACAAACCAATTAGCTCAATTTCTTTTCATTTAGCTCACTGAAGCTCTCTGAAACCTAAATAATTCTGCATGATATGGTTTGTAAAATTTATCAATCTAAATTTCCAGACAGCCTCCTCTCACATTCTAGCTTAGATTTTGCTAACTGGTGGCTCAGAGCTCAGTATGTTTTCAAATTCCTGATTTTTTACCTATTAGTATCTATGTATTCTCTAAGATATACCTGGATTATCTTTTTTT